TATGATATAGTCATTCTCGGTGAGGACTCTGACAAAATGCAGAGTCTTCTAAACACCTTGAACAGCAATCTACGAATGTTTCGCATGCGATTCGCTCCCGCCAAATGCAAGATGATGTTACAGAACTGGAGTACACCGACTCCTAGACTAGAAATAGGAAGTGAAGTGGTAGAGCACGTTGACCGCTTCACTTATTTGGGAAGTACCATCAGCCAACGCCAACGGGTTGTCCTCTGACGAAATCTCAGCACGGATACAGGGGGCTCGTTTCGCATTTGCCAGTTTACACCGTCTCTGGCGTAGACCTGATATCCGGCTGGCTGTCGACCAAAGGGCGTGTGTACTGCTCATCAGTCCGTTCCGTCCTCCTTTATGGCTGAGAGACCTGGTCATTTAGATTGGAAGACATGAAAAGGCGAGCTAGCTGTCTTTGATCATAGGTGCCTGCCTTCTATCTCCCATGTGAAGTGGTATTATAGGCTGAGCAATATAGAGGTTAGGCGTCGAGTTCTAGCTAACCAGGGGAAATCAATAGACGAGTTTGTCAAGCCACATCGACTGAGATGGTTAGAACATGTGTTACGTATGTCTAGTCATCCATCGCCTTCCTCGACCGACGGGCAGTGTTAGCTGATATAGGGCAAAGTTGGAAAAGAGCTAGCAGAGGTCAAACAAAAACATGGTTTCACCTGTCAATGAAATCTACAACAGTTAGTCTAAACCACGTAGGAAGATGTAGACTGGCTTCCTGGTTGGGGTCCTCGGGACGGTGAAAATCAATGGTTGGAAACAATTGTTCTTAATGGCTGGCGCAGATGCATCCACTCCTTGTGATTTATGATTTCCAATGAAACTGTTTTGTTCTTCTTTAATACTCTTCCTTTGTCTCACACCTCTGTTTACTGTCTCTATTATGCATTTTTTCTACTTTCTTTTCTTGCTTTGTGTGCTACAAGGAGTGGAGTGTGGCCACTTGAACTGACGCATATATGTGCAAAGTTCTATGTCGAAAACAGACAGACAAACAGATAGGCAGATGTCAGCTTGTGGTCAAACATATGAAAATGAAAATGTTGGACAGATACATATATCAGACTGTTGATTGCCAACTAGCACGAAAGCTATGTCAAAGGCTTCCTGACGATTGCCTCCAGCCATCGAATATCAGTAATTCAAAGTACACCATAATGGCAAGCCACCTAGTGGTATGGTGGTCACATTGCAAACTTTATTGATGGAATTTAGTCTGCATCAAACAAAGGACTAGACACACATATCACACCAGTTACTGACTATTGTCCAATCAAAAATACCCAATGCACTCCTACAGGAGGTCAATTGCGAACCAGCCTGAATAGCTCAGTGGTAACGTCTCTGACTGCAGCTCTCACTGGGTGACACGGGTTCGAATCTAACAGCAGACTTGATTTCGATAGAGAAAGAAAGAAAGAAAGACAAGATTTGCAGTATAAAATGATGCCATCATTCTTTTTCACAAGTTCTCATCAGCTAACTGCAAACTACCTGAAATGATTACAATGGTTATAAATAATAACATTTCCCACTTCATTGTTTGAAAGGTAATAGAGAAAACATTATAAGGTGAAGGCATCTGGAATATAAGTATTATAATCTAAGTCAATCACCATCAATTTATATACTATCAAACTATGACGAGAAGGACAAGGGGGGTGAGAGAAGACAGAAAACAGAAAAAAAATCTAATAAACAGTGTTGACAGCGAATCTACTACGATTTGCTGAAGCAACTGCAATCAGATTTCTCAGACCAAACTGATGTATATCGATAGAGAGTGTAGTCAATCTCTCACTACGCAAGTTTTCAAATTGATGAACTTTGACCTTCTTGAGTTACCGTGTAGACACTGTTTATTAGATTTTTTTCTGTTTTCTGTCTTCTCTCACCTCCCCTCTCTTTTTCTTTTTTCATAGTTTGATAGTATATAAATTGATGGTGACAAACTATAAATTGTAATAATTACATTCCAGATGCGTTCACCTTATAATGTTTTCTCTATTACCTTTCAAACAATGAAGTATGAAATGTTATTATTTATAACCATTGTAATCATTTCAGGTAGTTTGCAGTTAGCTGATGAGAACCTGTGAAATAGAATGATGGCATCATTTTATACTGCAAATCTTGTCTTGTCTTTCTTTCTTTCTCTATTGAAATTTATCAAGGGAACCAAATGTATGAAATTTTTGCAAAACACATGATTTCCTTCAACGTTGCAGATACGTCTTGCAGACTGGTAATTGCCAACTAGTATGAAACTTAAATCGAAGTCTTACTACCGATTGCCTCCAACCATCCCGTGTTATTTTATTCCGTGTATATTTCGTCATGAAGGAGGGTTACTTAGTAAATCATCGACGTTCAAGGCTTACTCGACAGTTGATTCGTCCTAGTGTGAAATTCTTTATCAGTGCTCACCAGTGACCGTATGAACGGTCTTCAGGTTTATGACCCTTTGGTCAATGGGTTGATTTTTAATTACCTATGAATTTAAACTTCAGTCATTTCACGACATTACTCTGCCAATACCATCTATAAGCAGTCACTTCAGCATAAAACAGGGAACTCAAATATTAGTAGTTTTAAACCGTATGCCTAACATTTTGTTTGTTCCTTCCGCCTATTATTACAGAGAATGAAAGTAAGTATGCTTTACATACGATATTTACTTTGTACATGTTTAACCCCAATTATTTCGATACTTCCGCCAGAACCTTTGTCGGGGCGTGTCACAACCAAGTCTTTGTCCTGATGGATTGCCAAGACTACATCGATAACATGTTATCAGCCTTGTCAGATGAAAACAAATTTTCAAAAGAAAGTATCCAGAAAGACCAAACGGAACAAATTGAAAGCAAGATAACACAAATGCTGAAGAATATGAAGAACGAATCGATTATTAGCTCTGAATTATTCGAGTAAATACGACCCTCCCGTTCCGTGAATCTCCGCTCACATGACCTGCCGAAAATGCACAAAGAGAACGTGCTACTACGTCCAATCTTGGACATGACAAATTCCCCATATCATGCTACTGCCAAATGGCTCACAGAAGTCCTCCTACCTACCAGAAATAACCTCTGCAAGTATAGTGTTTATGATTCGTTTGAATTTGTCGATTCAATAAGTGGTGCTAATGTATCTGGGAAGAAAATGATATCTATGGATGTTACTTCGCTTTTCACCAACGTTCCCCTTACTGAAACTATCTGCTTTATATGCAAATTCATTGAGGATAATAATGTGGACGTATGTGTTCCGATCCACTACTTAAAGGAACTACTATTGAGGTGCACTCTAAATGTCCAATTCAAGTTCAACAACACGATTTATGGACAAAGAGATTGAGTAGCAATGGGGTCACCATTGGGTCCTTTACTTGCAGACTGCTTCTTAGCTAGTTTGGAGAATAGTATTTTACGACCTACTATCGACAGTTTCCATCTGTACCAAAGATACATGGATGATACTTTCACCATATGTGACGACAATACCGACATCGAATTGATAACTAAGGAGTTCAACAGCTGCCATCATGCCATCAAGTTCACGTCGGAATCAGAGATTAACTCGGAATTCCATTTTTTGGATGTTTTTCTAAAGAGGAGATCTGATGTTTCTCTTCAAAGATCGATTTACAGGAAACCAACATGGAATGGTCAGTACATAAATTTCCATAGCTGGGTCCCTTTGAGAAGAAAGAGAAATCTGATCCATTCCTTATCCTCAAGAATAAGGAGGATATGTTCAAGTGATACAATCGATGGGGAACTGGAGCAACTCAGACAAGCTCTCATAGAGAATTGATATCCTCCAAGATTTATCGAGAAAAACATGAAGTTAAGAGAAAAGCCTGAAAGAATTCAGACGGTGCCGAAGAAACTGCTCTTTATGAGCGTTGAATCTAAAGGCGATAGCACAGCTGAAATCCTGAAGAATCGCTTATGCAGATCACTGAGGAAAGCCTTCTTTATGGCTGAGCTATGTATCAATTTCTACAGCCGACAAATGATCAACGGATGTGTGGAGGATAAACTGCCGCTTTGGGCCACCTCAATGTGTGTTTGTAAATTCACCTGCTCGTGTGGAGCTAGCTATACTGGCCACACAAAGCGCACGCTTTCCAAACGCATCTCTAAACATTATCCCGCAAGGTTAGCAAAGGGAAAATGCAAGACAATACTAGCTCAATTCTCGAGCATTTGGTGAACTCGGGCCACATAGCTCCACCAGAGTCGTCTTTCAACATCATCTACAAAGTGAAGCCAAATGGTACAAAGGGCGTCAGGTTCCGGCTTTTGTGTATGGCAGGGAGGCGCTGGCAATTCATCAATACAACCCTGAATTCTGCATACAGAAAAAGTTTGTCCAGTCTCTTATTCTACCTTGGTCTTAACCTCTTCACTTATCGTTCCCTGTAAAATATTTTTGATTTTGTTCTTAATCTTTAATTTTACTTTTAGTTTGCTTTTGCTTTAATAATTTGTTCACTATTATCAGTTTCATATGCTCCTTTTGTATATTTTCACACCCTCCTCACACTTGTTCACACTTGGACACTCAACTACCACCTTTATTCTCACTCATGAGCAATTTTAACCTTATCAAACTTCTATCTTTGTTCCGTTGAGTACCATGTAATTTACAACTTTTAATTTTCACTTCTAAAGCCACTTCTGAGTAATTATATCAATTATGTTACCCACCGCCTATTACTCAATAATAGACCATTATATATTTTTGTAAGTATAAATACGACTGTAAAGTCAGCCTCTGAAGATGATTTCGTCGATAAAGAAGCATTTTCTTCGCTGAATCTGTCTTTTATTTTCTTCATGACTCAATGGGTATTTTCCGTGATTATTTGTTTAAATGAACTAATTCAATAATTCATTGTCCAATGTTTTTGTTTATGTTATAATTTTCTTCTTTGTTTTCTTTTAATTTTTGATTGTTTTAAGATCAAGAAAGAGGGAATGAAGGGTTGAATCCAAACAATAATAATAATAATGAATGGTCCTATGATGTCAATTCAGTACCCTGTTTATCATTCAATAAAGATGTTATCGTATATGATAAACGACAAAATATTCCGCAACATTCATCACGTAGTTCTTTGTATAAGATAAATGAAGCTGACAATACATCTGATGCTCATTTGTCAAGACATAATGACTTAGAAAATAAACCAGGTAATTATTGTCAGATAATCTTTTAAATGAATTCTCACAAGTTTGATCTAAAGATACATTTTGATTCGTTCGATTATCTGTGTATAATTATAATAATAAAAGGATGGTTATAGTGAAGAAAAGTTTCAGTTTGACGAAGTCATCATCAGCTAGATAGCTGTACATTCGTGTATTAATAATAAATGAGAGGGGAAGTTCCAGAACAATTTCCAGTCAAGCGTCAAATTAATAAAATTACAATTAGGAATTAAAATGCCATAATAAACAATGGCGGAAGACGAATAAAACTCAAAAAAAAGTAGCACCATAATTATTGGGAAGATTGACATATTGTGCAATTGGGGGTTAGAAATATAGAAATAATAAAATGACAAAATAGGCAGGAAGTTCGGATGCGAAAATATGGTAGTGTAAAAATAACGTGAACAAACAGGAAGTTTGGATAAGAAAGGTAATGGGATAGTCACTACTAAAAGAATTACCTGTTTATGATGGCCATGGCAGGTACAAAGGCTGGACGTATTTCTTTTGGATACAAAGCGTAGCTTTGAGCTTTTGGATAGCTAGTGCCTCGGCTATGCGCAAATGTCTTAATTTCACTCCCTTTGATAGGTTTCATCGAATCATGTATATGATTTTGAAGGATTTTTCTAATGTCACTGAATGTCCTGAGTTGACCAGATGAATAGCTATAGCCTCGGAGTATTTCAATAAGCTGTTCATAAACTTAAGCCCCCTACTTGTGTATTCAAAAACAGTTTATTATTACGCTTAACCTGCCTTGGCAATCCTAATGTTATTGGATTACCGAACGTTGTGTTAATCCTTCTTTTGTCACTTTGTTTAATTTAACTTTTTCATCTGTGTCGACTTGACAAGTAAATATGTGAGGGATCAGATTGTTCGAAATGTATAGCGTAAATACATCATATTTTTCAGATAATCTCCATCTTCTAATAGCGCCATCCAAATTTATAAAAGGGACTAATTGTTTTAAATACCCTTTGTGAATTTCTCCCGAAAGAAATCCGAAACGATAATCCAAACTATAGATTTAACCACACGTAGAGTTACGCGTAAAGTCCAAAATACAGGATATTCTGCAATACGGCACTTTATTACATAAAAATAGATATATAATATACAAACCTCAAAATGTGAGGTGTCTGTGGCTAAATGCCGTCAAATGCACAACCACTGTGCAGTCAATAAGTAAAAACAGCAATGCTGTGTCAAGGTCGATCTATGTGTCGGTTCAAACGGCCCGCGAATGCCAAGCAAAGAATAAACAAATATGAACAAACAACTTTCAATAGTAAAGCATACACTATAGGGTAAATGCAGCAAATAATGTTTAAGGAGAAGAAAAATAGGAACTATACATTAATAAAATGATAATAGAACAAGTAATTTAACTGCAGTTGTAAGCAAATGTCATTGTTATAAATTAACATAAAATCATACTACTTACTAATGGCAAGTAGTATAATGTTGAACAAAGGAAAGATTGAGAATGAACAGGTAGGAAAGGAATTAACACCGCCCCCTCAGAACCAGCCTGGTTTTCCCTACTCTACCTGCTAGTAAGACACAGAAATGGTACAATTTACTCTCGCCACATCTGCATCCACTATCCAGCTATATATCCTACAAAGTGCTTATCTCTCCTCAATACCTTCTAATAGGCAAACCTTACGCACATCTCGGTTGACTATACCCCTCGGTGTCTTGATATCCACTTTTCTGATATACCCATCACAGCTTGCCGTAACACCTGTAATTATTCCTATTGACCAACGATTGCGAAGTGAAGGCTCCGCAGCCACTAGTACTAGGTATCCCACTTGTAAGTTTCGATGTCGTTGAACGCGATTGTAAGGTCGTCAAGTACTCCCGCTTCCACCGTCTCCAAAACGTATCGGCAAGGAGTTGCCCTTGTTTCCATCGTCTTGTGGCTCGTTTTAAAGCATAGGCTGCACAAAAAGGTGATGAGGTAGCACCGAAGGGATATACGTTTAATTCATACAGGCTCAGTGGTAAGTCCAGTCTACCCTCAGAATACCATAAGAAACTAAAGGCACTTTTATCCTTGACAGGTAAGTGAACCTGAAGAAACATCTCAATATCTGCTGACAAGGCTATCCGATGTTTTCTAAATCTCAATAGTACCCCAGCCAATTCATTCATCAGATCAGGTCCCGAATACAGACAATCGTTCAAGAACATTCCCTTACATTTAAAGGCACAATCGAAAACCAATTTTACCAGGCTTGGGGGGATTTATAAATGGGTGGTGAGGGATAAATCTACGTTTCTTGGAGAAGTCGTCAGGAACGCGACTAAAATAACCCTTCAACTCATGGTCTGTTAGTATTTGATTGTAGGACTTTAATAGGCTTTCGTCCTTTTTTAGTTTCTTCTGAAGACTGTCCAGCCTGCGTTCTGCCTCAAACTTATTAGGCGGTAATCTACGCCAGTCCTCTTTCCAAGTCAATGGAACTTCATCCTGAGGAAAAGTTCCTACGACAGGACAAAATAACTATTCAGTGGTCCTCAAACTAATGTCGGTTCATAGCGAAACCAACATTGAAATAAAACAAATAATCTGACCATTTATCATTTTAATGACTAAATTATAAATGGTCCATTGAAACAAGTAATAGAGAAAACCGATTCTTATTTTCGTTATGTTGATAATACGTTTATTATTCTTGATGTGAAAGCTGACAAGAATGAAATGTTAAAAAAAGTTTAATGATGCACATCCATTACTCATTTTCACTTGTGAAGAAGAACATGATGGTGGACTGCATTTCCTTGACGTCCAATTGAGCAGAAGAGAGAGACTAGATGGTTCACTCAAGAGAAATGTCTATAGAAAACCTACACATTTCTTCAGTTTTGTACCAATCCGATACAAAATCAATTTGGTCATATGCCTCACGAATAGAGCAAGACGTATCTATACAGATGACTCCCTAGAAAATGAGCTAGGATACATCCAAAATACGCTGGTCCAAATGCGTTATCCTAATAGATTTCTAAGGAGACATATGAATACCAGATACAATAAAGAAAAACTGACAACAGTTAAAAAGAAACAAGTGTTCATGAAACTGCATTTTAATGGGAACGTGGCTGGTGAAGTCCTACATCTGAGATTATCGAGAGCGATAAAACTCCCGTCACCCTTTGTTTGTCATTTTCCAGCAGCCGGCCAATTATGATTGCTCAAGTGAAAGACAAGCTACCCAGCTAGCTGTGCCACTTCCATGTGTATCTATAAATTTAGTTGCTCCTGTGGAGAGAGCTATATAGAGCGAACAACTAGACAGCTTAAAAAACGCATTAATCAGCATCTTCCTTCATGGTTAGGAAAAGATCAAATAAAATCTATAAGAAGTCCTATTTTGGTTTATTTGATTGATAGTGGTCAACAAGTAGATAGAAATAGTGCCTTCAAAGTTATCTATCCTAGTCTTTGCATACAAAAGAAGTTTGGCCTACCTTTGTCTGTCTCTTGGCCTATGTGAATACCATTGAATCCCCCCACTCCCCTCACCCTTTCTTATTTGCCATTTCCTTCGTACTTTTATGATATTTATTATTTAAACTCTGATTATCTGTCCACTTCACCCTGAGTATTACGTAACTTTTAAGATTTGACCTAATTTATTTATTTATTGGATTGTCTACATATACACATATATACATATAATACTTTCGTTATTCTTATCGCCACCCGCATAAATCTTATTATCAATATTTTGTTATCATTATAATCATCGTTATTAACTAAGCTCAAAACATTTACCACATTATTGTTATTTGATCCACAAAATCACCGTTATTGGCTAAATTCTCTTTTATATATAAATCTAAGTAAATTAGAGAGTGAAGCCTGAAGAAGATCTGATTGAAAACAACAGTATTGTTCGCTTATAATTAATTAAATTATCCCTATACCAAAACCATCTTCTGGTTCTGATATTAAATTTCGGCCTATTGCAATTACTTCCCCCTTTTTAAAATTGATGGAAAAATTACTTTTACTTCGTCTTGAACCCGCTTTGAAACCTTTTAATGATCCTAAACAATTTGCATACAAACATAACAAAACTTATCATTGTGTGTAAACTATTCAAATATAATTATACTTTATTTAATGGTAGAAGTACCTTGGATGCTGCGGTTGTCTTATATCACAATGTTGTCTCTTGTTTAGACAAAGGTGCTAAATATGTTCGTAGTGCTTTCTTAGACTACACATCTGCTTTTGACTCTGTACCTAGGGGCCTTTTATTAAATAAGCTATCATTGACACAAACAGGATCCTGGGCTAAGAGTTGGTTGCATTCCTATTTTTCTGATAGAATGCAGTATACTGTATATAATGGCAAATCTTCTTCTACCTCGCTTACAAAATCCGGTGTTCCACAAGGTGCTGTCCTCTCTCCTTTTCTTTTTTCTTTCTTCCTACATGACCTACCTCATTCAAACGAAACTAACTTTGTCAAATATGCAGATGATCTGACTGTATCACTCACTGTCTATCACTTCCGAGTCTGACAGCTCCAAACTTAATAGCTTTCTGTGGGACATCAACAAGTGGTCCAAGTCAAATGGTCTTACATTAAATCCTTCCAAATGTCAGGCGCTTGACTTTACTTTCAATCATCGACGTGACTTACTTGAACTAGTTAACTCTCATGATCCCTGTAGCATAGATGGCACGAAAATTGAAACCAAATCAAGCATTAAATACCTTGGATTAGTTTTTTCCTCTGACCTTTCATGGTCATCCCATATCTTATCTATCTCTGAGAAAATGTTTCGTCTTACCTTCTACATTAAAAAGTTAAGACAATCAGGTATCAACCAACCTTTAGTTTTGCAATTTTTAAACTCCTGTATTTTACCTATTGTACTCTATTGCTCTCCATTAATCTTTCCTGGGCTTCTCAAAAAACATTATATCATATTACGAAGAGTATTAAATGCTGTGAGTAGAGCTTGTGGTCTGCCACTGCATGAGCTCGCTAATACTATAGTCGAGAGGCATATAAATTCCTGTACGAAATGGGCAAAGGCTATAATGTCAGACCCTCTGCACCCCCTTTATTCACACCTGTCCCCTTGTATCTCATCAGGTAGGACGAGAAATCAATATAAGAAGTTATATGCTCGTACTACTAAGTATAGAAATTCTACAATACCCTATTTAGCGCGTACTTTATGTGACGAAGGCTCTGTTAGACGTGAAACTTACAAGTTACTATGTAATTAGCACAGTGAATAGACCCTTTTATCGTTCATCTTTCTGTATTTTATGGTGTCACACTTTCTATCGTTTAAATCGTTACTCTGCTATTTTATTTTTAGTTGGTATTACTATTATTACTACAATTTTGTACTTTACACATATTTTTCTCCGTATGGCACACAGTATTTTGCTACATAGCTGCTATAACAATCGTTTTATTACTATTATGTAATGTGTATTTTTAATTTTTTTTTGTCGTTTTTGAGTAAATTAGATGCAATATTGTACTGAAATGCTGAAAATTCCTTGCTGTATCATGAGTACTGTTTTTGGAATAAAGCTATTATTATTATTATTATTATTATATGTCTTGTTCTAATATTATAAATGGGAATATTTAAAGATTTGAATTATATTTCATTAATTCAGCATTCTATTCTAATCGAAATTTCTCAATTGATTCTTTTTAAAATATATTCGAATTTCGCTTTTCTTTTTTGAATTCAAAGCTGATTGTATCCATGACTCGCGTGATGCGTTGCCATATTGTCAACCGCCACATAATCCAGTAGAAATGGATTGTCATGAGAAAATGCATCATTTAGAAAAGAATTATATACACAGTAGTTGGAATTGTTATCTAAATTCTTCACAAGTAAGTCACCTGAACGACAGTCTGTTAATACATACATATTTTTATGAATTAGTTTATACGCTGAATTATGGATTACTGGAAGTAGAGTTGTCAGTTGGTAAACAAGTATTTCTTACAGCCAGTTCGCTTTGTTAGACCGAATAAAGAAAGAACGAACACTATTAGTATTGTTCGCTTTAGTCTTTAGTGGAACAAAAGGCTTCGTCTACACGTCTTAATTGGATTCGGCTCTCCATCAACGTTTTAATCTGGCTCCACGTCTGCCCAGATGCTTTCATCTTCTCTTCGCACTACTTCCTTCTCCATGTTACTGTAACACTGCCAACCAACTCACCGCCGCCCATTCATGTTCCACTTGAGCGATGGCCAGGCGTGTGATTTCACTTGATGGTTTGTTTTCTCAAAGTATGGCCAATCCACCTCCATTTCTTCCTTCACATCTGTTGCACAATTTGTTCCTGGTGGGTTGGTTCGTTCGTTCCTAGAGATCCTAGCTGCTGATATTTTTTAGCCAACTATCTGGTCTTGAGTAGTATTGAGCGAAGACAGCTGTTGGTGAAAGTCTGTAGTTTGTTCAAAGTGGCCTTCGTGACGCGGTGCGGCGCCAAGTCTCTGATCCGTATAGTAAGTAGAACTGAGTGACTTCAAATTGGAGTTGAAAATCCGGATCCCATTTTTCATGCTGAGTGCTGTTGAACTCCTCCACACAGACTTGAGAGTAATGAAAGCTTGTCTTGCTTTCTCGATCCTCACTTCGATGACATCCTTATCAGTTCCGTCCGCCTGTATTTGGAACGATGCTGCCAAGGTAGGTAGGTAGGTTGGTAGGTGAAGGAGGTTGGTACTCTCAGATTTCTCCCATTTATGCTGATCTTTGTCTGTTGTTATTGCTATTGGTTGGGAATCTTCATCACTTCTGTGTTTCTCTATGTTCTCCTAAAGTCCTATCTTCTCTGGATGCTTTCTCTGTCAACTTGTTGCTTTTCGCTTGCATATCTCCCAATTTGTGGGAAATCAGACATATATCACCGGCTAAAACTAGATCCCCCAAGTATTTTGTGTGGGTGCTTTTTATGTCTGTCTCCTTGTTGCCTGCTGTCTCCCTCATTATCCAGTCTACAGCAATAAGAGAGATCACTGGATAATGACAGCTCGTTTTATTTCATCGATTCTCTTCAACTGTACTGTACATCCTAAACAAAATGAATTATAATTGACAAAATTATGTCTGAACATACTTTTCTCACAGTAACTTAGAGTTATAGATAGAAAGTATATAGTACGCAGATTAAAGCCATCACTGGGTGAGTCGAAATATTTTAATTTAATGCCTAAAACTAAGAATGCTAGTAGAATATATGGTACTATAAAAATACATAAGCCAGGTTACCCCATAAGACCAATAGTAGATTTTAGAAATACCCCCACGTATGAATTATCAAAACACTTAGCTCTAATACTATGCCCCATTAGAAATCGTTCAAACTCTAGATTAACTAATTCATATGAGATGAAAAATAAACTAAATGACATTCAACTAGCGAATGATGAAACAATGGTTAGTTTTGATATAACTAGTCTTTATACTAATATACCAGTTAATATGGCCTTAGAAGCAGTTAAAAAAGAATTAACTGCGGATCCGGAACTCAGTCATAGGACAAAGCTGTCCATTGAAGAAATTATTTTAGGGATTCAGTTATGCCTCACATCTACTATCTTTAAGTTCCAAGGCAAAATATATAGACAAACAGAAGGTGTAGCAATGGGATCACCAATATCCCCTATCGTAGCAGACATATTTATGGACAGCTGGGAAAATAGTGCCCTCAATACATTTAACCCTACTCCGAAAATATGGTGGAGATATGTGGATGACACTTTCACAGTGTTAAAAACAGAACACATCTCTAGCTTCTTGACACATATAAACTCACAAGTTGAGGGAATAAAATTCACATTTGAATCAGAAAATGAACAAGGAGAATTAGCTATGTTAGATTGTAAGATAAAAAGAATAGAAGAAGGCAAACTACACACTAGTGTTTATAGAAAACCAACGCATTCTAATAGATATTTAGACTTTAATTCGTCTCATCCTTTAACTGTTAAGGCAGGCTTAGTTAAATGTTTAACAAACCGAGCAGTGGCACTAAGTAGCACAAAAAAAGATCTAAATGATGAATTAAAACAGATAGAAGAAGCGTTGGTGTTGAATAACTATCCTATAAAATTCATTAGGAAGATCACTAAAGGCCAAAAACAAAATAAAAATAATTGTGAAACTAGTAATAATAACATAAATAAGAAAGAATATAAGTCATCCACAGTTATACCATATAAAGAGGGGACATCTGAGACACTACGTAGGATTCTGAATAAAATAGGAATTAGGGTGGCATTTAAACCTACAAACTCACTCAGGGACAAGCTCTGTAGGTTAAAGGACCCAGTTGACCCAATTAGACAAAATAATATTATTTACAAAATACCATGCAATGACTGTGAGGTCAACTACATAGGTCAAACTAGTAGGTCAGGGGTAGTCAGATTGTCAGAGCATAAGAATTTAGCTAAGGTAAGAATGGTTGACCCCGAGAAGATAAGTAATTTAGAAAAAAGCTCAGCAATTGCAATGCATGCGCTAACACACAACCACACAATAGGGTGGGAGAGGGTTAAAATTCTAAAAAGTAATCTAGGTAGGTGGAGAGAGAGGTTGATTACTGAATCCTTGTTCATCGAGTCTACACCCAACACATGCAATAGGAATGACTCGTCACTCATACCTGAAATATGGAAAATACTATTACCAATCAAATCAAGTGAAAATCAAGAGAAAAACAATGGAACTATATAAATGAATTTAGGAAGTCGTGTGATTACCTTGATATGATTATGAGCAATAAATTGTGCTCGAAACGTCATCAGTAAACATTACTGTATAACACTGTGAGACTTTATCAAAACAAAATTTACCCATAATGGAATTATAGACAACATAATACTAAAAATGATGTAAGAACACAAACTGTTCATTGGCAAGAGAATAACTATTTATGCAATAATTAGACAAAGGAGGTGCGTTGAGTTCAGACTTAGCTTGGAAACAAGGATTGACTAGAGACAAAATACAACATAGAACAACAGAATTAATTTATGCATATTACGGGAGAGAGTTCAGTAGGGATGTTGGGTGGTGAATAGTGAAGTTAAATTATGCGATAGATAAAGCAATTTAATTTAATAGATTTGGAACCTTAATAGTGAGTACAACTCAGTGAGTGAAAATCTGAGTGGAATCTTATGCAACAGAGCAAGATACAAAAGTACACGAACAAAACAAACAATTACGGTTAGTAGAGTAGTGAGAGATTAGTCACACAATCTTTCTGTATTCATAGGTTTGGTCGATTTCTTTTGATGGTTATGGCTTCAGTGAACTGATTCTTTTGAAAGCCTGACCGATTTCCACTGTATGTCCCATGTCAATTTGGTGTTGTACAGTAATTCCACTAGGAAAACGCTCTGCTGCCTTTCATTTGGAGACTTATAGGAATATCCTCAGAAAATTTGGTAGATACTCTCCTCTCAGTCCTTCTGATGTACTTGCTGAAGCAAGTGCAAATGACATGTGGAGCAGGATACTTATCTACTTTTGACTGAGTTAATGAGTATACTGTGTTGTAAAGTGGAATGAGTCTAACTGCAGTAACTGTTCTTTTTTCAATACACCTTTAATTCTCTTTTCCGTTTTTATGGACACTTATTTGGCTTTGTACACTTGACAGATGAAAACTGGTTTCTTTTCAACTACTTCGGGGTGTGAAATGAACTTTCGAATACTTTTTGAACACAACGTCCTAGCTCTGCTGAAGAGTGTTTTCACCAAGCTCCGTTTGTAGCCAATCGGGCAAAAGCTTTAACAATTCAAGTTTCTTTCCTACAGATGGTTTTTTTCAATCGTCCCATCATTTCTTCTTTTTATGTTGAAACCTACGAAGTGGAGCTGATTGTCACGTTCGTGATAATTGTAAATTCAGTGTGGGGATGAGTCGCATCGAGTTTTTCAAACATTTTGAATGCGCGATCCATATTATTGTGAACCCCATTAACTTGTCGTCAGCATACCGCTATTTCCAGCTTCATTCAAGTCTGTTCAAGATAAGCTGTGAATATGTCCTCAAGAACAGGATCAAAAAGTAAAACGATAGTCACCCCGCCCCCTCGTCATTTTGCCGGTACAGCTGGTTTTTGAATCGGAAATGAACATTCTTTGTACCAATGAGTAGTGATTTTTGTGGTTCCTTTTCAGGACAAAGAAATAATTCAGATTACTGGCATATGATTTGTATCGTTTCTTCTTATAACAGTGAATAACTCATCTACTTACTTCAATGTGGGAATTATGTTATCTACAATTTTGTAACTTACAACTGATATTATTTAATTGGTGGATGATGGTGACTAGCAGTGGAATCCCGGACAACGCGCATTTCGTCCTATTTGGGACTCGTCAGCTGGATGTACCTGCATTTCTCAGTGAGTGATGATGTTCCCACCGAGGCTCGAAACCAGTACCAATAGTTTCAAACACCAAAGCGTTATCCACTAGACCACTTGGGCCACGAGAGCCACCTCTTGTGCGACGGGTCATATTAATTATTGAATTGAATTTTTTGATTTTCCCGTCGATTGATTTGACCGAAGTGCTTGGTCTCAGCTGACGAGTCCCAAATAGGACAAAATGCGCATCCTGGATTCCACTGCTAGTCACCATCATCCACCAATTGTATACCAATTAAATACCCAGACATCGTCGAAGCATCTGGACAAGGAGCCGCCGACATGTCAACCTGAGACCGAGCACTTCGGTCAAATCAATCGACGGGAAAATCAAAAATTCAATTCTACAACTGATATTGTTTAGGATGTACTCAGATGAATAGAATCAATGGTATGAAACAAGGTCGTATTGTCCTGCATATATGTTCTCTCTGTCTTTATTCAAACAGGTATTTCGAATCTTGGCTGAAATCAAAACATGATCCATCACTATACATATTATTGTGGTATCAGTGACTTTGATGATATCGATGGATATCTGACTGATAGATTCAGATAATGAAAACAAAACACGTAATTCAGCGAAGAGTCTCTTTTCGGCGAATTCATTTTCTTAGCTGTACAATCGCAAATATATATATGTGTAACGACAGAAGGCAAGAGTCAGGCAACAGATCGTTTATTAAGGAAATCAACACGTATTTATATATATTTCATGTACATTATTATAGCTTATTCAAGCAGACAAACACAGTCTTCTGACTGGTTGCTTCTTACAGAAAGTTGACCTTGCATCTCTTTGTGACTGCTTCTTGAATGTCAGGTCATCTATATATTAACTGTATCTGTCTACGCCAAGTCTGCTGTGACTGGCTGTTGAATCAGTCTTGTTCCTATTTTCTCACGACCAATATTTGCGACGTAAACATTGACGTGAATTAATGTCCACCAATTGGCTAGCAGCCTACTCTCACCACATATGTGTACATTAAGTTTGTCAAACAAAATACAATTGGTTATGGTTATTTTAACTAAACAGGTGAAGATTGGTAATTGGAGTTACGTAATACAAAATCAGTCAAAAAAATTGGGTGTTAATGAAATTAAGGTAGTAACAAAGGTGATGAGTTGTCACAAACAGTTGTCAAAAAGGAAGTTATGTAATAATATGAATAGTTTGATGATTGAGTTTTTCTCAGAATACACATAGGACCAAAGTAGAGAATACGAAATTACGTAAGGCTTCTAAATGAATACAAGAATTATAAACAGTTAAAGAAACAGGCTAACAAACAAAATTAAGTCACCAAAAATCAAAAAAGTTGTTCCCATGAGAGTAGAAGTGGCTGAGTAATTCTCTTTTGTATGTACAGCTCCGGGTTTTCTGTGTGAATGACCAGAGCTTCAACGATACAAAGAAGACGGTACCGTATTGCCTTTGGTAGGTTATTCTTGACCCTGTAGATCACTTTGAAGGAGGCGTTTGTTGAGATGGAATGATCAGTGTGTTAACCAGGTGTTCAATTATCGCACTCCTTATTGCACCATTAGTACCTTTTCACAACCATGCTGGATAGTGTTCTTGAATCTTCTTGTACATGATGCGCGTCTAACGACCGATGTACCTGGCTGGCTCCACAGCAACAGGTGAACTAATATATACCCATAGAAGTGGCCAGATGTACGATCTTGTCCTTGAAGCTTCGGCAGATCATTGGGCGACTGGAGAACACTATTCTTAGCATTGCTGCAAAGAATTTTCTCTTCTCAGAGATGTTGTGATCCTTCTCTTGAAAATACCGCTTGTTAAATCTCCCTTGAAATTCAAGTTCATGTAGGGTTTCTTTTTAGAGGCAAGTGATGTTTCATCTCTCCAAATTCTTCGTTTGATATTTTTTGTCAATGAATCTTATTGGGTATCCATTTTGGATGAAAAATTTCTCTGAAAATATCGAATTCTGTTTCTAGATTCTGATCAGCATATTATAATTAGTATCACCATTCTCTAACCACAACCTGTTTCACTTCAAATCATCAGAAGAATCGATAAGTGAAAACATTTATTGCTGCTATTCAAAAATCAGTTGCATTTTCATGCATTTGGCGATGAGTGATATATAAGATAATAATGAAACTACCTGTCTATGCATAGTCTGGTAGGCAGAGTGGTGTTCAGACCCGTCATTTACCTACTGGCAATTGAGCGAATAGACCAGTGAGCCACAATTCAGTGTAAGCCTAGTCTACTGGAATATAATGGCTTAGAATACAATGGGATTTAGCAGAGAAATGGATACATTTACATTTCATCTACGACTCTACTCTAATATATTAATACAATGCAGAAAATTATTCATCTGATAGTAAATGTTTGTGAACAGTAATTAGTCACTATGAACATGTCAAACTGGCTGAAGAAGCAGGCAGCTAAGACAGGACTCCAGGTGAACATAGAGATGATATATATCCATATAATATGTGTGTTTTGTTTGACAGTCTGATATATTTTGCTATGTACATATGGATTGATATTCCATTATAATTAGCCAATCATGTTAAGACTGTCTATTGATTTGTTCATTTTGAATATTCGCTCGCACACTTGTGTTCACACACTTGTTCGGACATTCATATATTTTGCTCTCACACACTTGTGTGACATTTTGATTCTCCTGGTGTTTTGGAAAATAAAAGTATCATTGCAAACCTAGTGGTCTTCTGATTTCCGTCTTTCTTGCGTCAGGACTATTAAATTCTCGACCAGTACATAACAAGGGAAGATAGAGGTGATGAAGACAACCAACCAACAACAGTTTGGAAATCTTCTGCATTCAGTATCAAGAACAAAATTACAATTTTCTATAGTTGGTTTGTAGGGATTAGTTTCGTTTTCAATCTGATTCTCGCTAGGGACTACTGGCTACAGGATGGAGTTTCCTGGAGTCATAGTGAGACGTCGTGACCAGTGAGGTCTATCCAGTCAAGTGTGTGAGGATGGATGTCCCACCGATGACATTGGTTGGTGCCAGTCACGCTAAATCACGAAATGGTAGAAGTTGGAACTCATTCGGTGGCTATTGAATCAGGTCCCAGTGTCTGTTGAATGGTCGCCTGAGAGCTTGTTTTGTAACCGGAAGGTCATGGGTTAGAACCCTGTCGGTGGGTGCGTACTGTCGATGATTCCCAAAATAGTGGGATGACACAGTTGTCCAGTACTCCAGAACTGGTTTCCGGTGATTCTCTAACTGATATCAATCTGTGATCAACTCGTAAAAAAATTACAACGACACCAACCCAACGGCTTCACTAAACCATTCAATCGGTAGTAGCGACGGGTGATGTGTAATCAGCGCAAGCTTATGACTTGCACTAACCAGGAATTCCTCGTTCACGGGGAACAACTGCAAGCACCGACCCCAGTTACGATGGTGATGAAACAGTTTGCCCAACCGTTTCGGGCCAGGTTCTCAAACTCGCTGGCACCGTCATTGTAGCGCACGTGTGGCCCCGGACATCTAAGGACATCCCAGACCTTTTATCGCTCAATTTCTTACGACTTCGATGAGCCGTCTGTCCCTCTAATAAATAAAAGCTGGCACCGTACCCGCCGGATCACGACCACACTACTCTATAAAGAAGCAATAGAAGCCAAGCCCTGAACGAGCACAGAAGGCCAATCTACTATTTAGTAGGTTATCGGAATTAACCAGACAAATCACTCCACCAATTAAGAACGGCCATGTATTTAGGTGATTGACTTCTGTTGTTCCATATGGAATGGGAATTTCATCTATGTCATAACTGGGGCTAGTAGCCTTCACATTGTTGACGCTGACTACTAATACCACTGTGGTGTGTGCAACTGACAAGATATATCAGTAGTAAAATTAAAAAGATGTCCATCGGCACAAAGACATCAAATAGTGGAGTGATAGATTTGAAATCAAAGAGAGGAAATGAATCAGTACTGCGGTGAAACATAGGAGACACGAAAAGACGACAAAGAAACACAAGTCGAAGGGAAGAAGTAGCACGATATGGTAGATATGTGCAAATGATGATTTTAATATTTGGTATACATAATTTACCTAAATGTATATATCAGGTTTCAGGTAAACATTCCATTACCAGCTTCCAAACAGGTGAACATTCCATGGCCTTCACCTTTCGAAGAGTAGGATATATGAAACTTCTTACGGGACTTTTATGTTGCACTGCGGAGTTGTTGAGCCTATGGGATTAGATGGCGAGGGCGGCCGTACTGGAAACGGTGCTAGGAGGTCGGGCAATGGCTGCGTGTGACAGCGTGGAGTGGACAGGTGGGTAAGCTGACCGGAATTTATTATTGGAAGGGTTAGTGATAGAGTTGAACAGCAGTTATGTATACCCCAGATATTAAAACCGTCATTTACACAGATCTTCGTGTTGTGCTCCTTCTACCCTTCACATAGTGTTTCTTTGTCTTCTTTTCGCGTCTCCAACACTTGCCCGCAATACTGGTTCATGTGATCCCTTTGCCACTGAAAATATCTCTCTGTTATTTGACATTTTTGTGAAGCTGAACGTCTCTTTATATACTACTGATAAATACTGCCAGTAGCACATGTCACACTACTACTACTACTACTATGCAACAATTTAAGTATATTTGTATACGCACATTTCATTCACTGACTCATTTTCTCTACAGATTGAATATTTACCAATACCAGATGCTAAAATGGAACCAATAGCTGAACGGTAAGTAAATAATTATTGAATCATGAATTCTCAGCTCCAGATTTTCCAAAGATTTGAATTCATTTCGTCATATGGCTAAATTAAGCTTTAAGCACCACTAACTGCCAACTGAGTGCAACCGCACCAATGACCTTGAGATGCTCACTGAGCAAATTAGTGAAAACTGGCAAATAATGTTGCCATCATCAATAAAATACGCTCATCGAAGTGTTATTTTATCAAATAGAATATCTGGCAAGTTTCAGCTTAGAACTATGTTCTGTAGCCCTAACCTCCAGAGACTGATGGATCCTTCCCTTGTACATGTATCCACACATACGTGTAAACACATTGAGATGTGACAATATCGTTTGGATACTGTAATGGTTTTCAGGACAGAATAGATCTCCTTTTCTCTATGAAAATAAGTTTGGCTGAATAGTAAGTTCTATGATTCGTCATCCTCAGTCTTTGTTTAGTGCTCCGACTTTGTTGATCACCCTTGAATAGTAAGGATATATAAACATTCTTCTTGGGAGCTGACCGACTGAATCGGTAGGGATATTCGTTCGACACTTGTGTAACGCTTAGTGAATTTTAACGGACACTTGTTATGTAACAATGTTTCAGTGAGGTGTTGCATTTCTTCTTCAATGGTGTCGGCTGTACACCACTGCCTTCTATGTAAATGTGTATGATAAATACGTGTGTTTTTGATCAGAATGTCCGAAATGTGTTGTGCAAGTACACACTACACATCTCGGATAAACTATACCTTTTTCTTGTTTTGGTCGAAATTCCTAAAGGGAACTAATTACTCTAAATAGGTGACCTAGACACAATCACCGCTGGTGGGGTCAGTCATACTCGAGTGAAACAGCCACCCTCTGGTATTTAGATCACTTCATTCCAGCTAACAAGTCCTACTACTTATTTCAATCATTCAGTAGTATATGATTTTAAACAAAGAAATAAGAAAACGTAATTTGTCAGAGTCGTGTAATGTGTATTTGCGTGCAACACACACTTCGAACAATCTGATCACACACACACGACTTGTCATAGGAATGTGTATATATATATATGAAATTAATAAAGAGTGAGGAAGAGGTGTGGAAAGAGACCAGTGAGGTTAGGTTAAAAGGACATATTGAAGGTCAAAATAACAATGAAGATCACTAAACCAAATAACAGAGGTAATAGTACATTTACCCTTACTGGTACCAAGGAAACTTTAGTTAGTGTGATGACGAATTGCTGCTTTGATCTCATAAAGTTGGTTTAAACTTCCTGATTTCTACACCTTCCACAAAATTTAGGACACTCCCTCCCCTAAACACGTTTTATAGGTAGGTTTAAAAGACATGTAAACGTCAATTTTGTCCCCTGTCTCTATAATATGTTTTGCAATAGAGGAGCTAGGTCCCTTGTTCTCACCATGAATGGACTCTGAAGATTCTGTTTGCTTCTGCGACCAATTAGTAATATGCCGTGCAGCCAGCCCTTACTTGCAGAGATCGATGAGTCTTCCCTATAATGTAGATTCCTATTTTACTGTAAGATACGGACTGAAAATTCTGTACATTTTATCCGGAATAAATCTGTTATTAATATTATTATTACTGAATAGCAGAAGTAGAAATTTCAAAAGCGCGAGATTACAGTAAATAAAGAATGTGATTATTTTCGATAAAGCCTTCGATATGTATGTCAACACATACATTCAAATTGGTAAATACAGTGGGATATGACATCATTTTTCGCATGTTCAAAGGGCTTAGATGGATATATTGGCTTCACACTCTCATTTATTATGAAATTAGCTGCATAAAAAGTCTTTTTAACAGCAGTGTTCAATCTTTGTCTAGTTATCAAGCTGCTATGATGCCCCATATAGGGTAGCTTCCTGTGCACGTCTTTCTTAGGGGCGAGTTGGAGAATGGGTCTTGGTGTTCCACTGGCCACTTTATATCTCCTGATGAACTTGTCCGGATAATTGTTACCAACCGGAGTTTGTGTCAACTTTCTTTCTTCTTCATCAAGTGTGTCTTTAGTGGATATTCATTGGATTCTACTGAAGAGGCACCTCACTCCCTAAAACTCTTTTATGCCGAACAGGGTAGAAACTGTGATAATTAAGATACTGCCCCGTAATGCCCAGGTAGGTTTTCTACAAATAGATCGTTTTTGTGACCCATCAAGCCGTCGACTAAGCAAACAGAATCCCCAGAACCTATTAATGATGAGAACAAGAGACCTAGCTCCTCTATTGCAAAACATATTATAGAGACAGGAGACAAAATTGACGTTTACATGTCTTTTAAATCTACCTATAAAACGTGTTTAGGGGAGGGAGTGTCCCAAAGTTTGTGAAAGGTGTAGAAATCAGGAAGTTTAAACCAACTTTATGAGATCAAAGCAGCAATTCATCATCACAATAAACCACCTTCCTTGGTAAACTTTGTTTTGATACCAGTAAGGGTAAATGTACTATTACCTCTGTTATTTGGTTTGGTGATCTCCAACTGTTATTTTGACCTTCAATATGTCCTTTTAACTTGACCTAACTCTTAGGTCTTTATTAATTTCATACATAAACAGTCTTATGACAAGTCCGCGAGTGATCAGATTGTTCGAAATAAGTGTTGCGCGAACACAGCTTTACACGATGCAGATAAATTACGTCTTCTTATTGCTTTGTTTAAATTTATAAATGGAACTGATTGTTTCAAAGTATATAATTTTATCTCACTATTTATAGATACGATTTCTTCTCTCTTTCTTTCTCACAGAGCACACAATAAAATTCACCATGGTCTACGTGAAGCATGTTTAGCACTGGGGATTGTTTTTACAACGATCACGTTAATTTGTATTGAACTTTTGCGTATCATTACATTGACGATCGTGAAACCATTTTTACAATTTCTACGTTTTCTATCTCATTTAATTATTAATTATTTCTGTGATATTAGTTATATACTGAGTGCACATTGGGAACGATTTATTTATCCAATTATTAATTCATGGGCTGCATATTCACAAGATGTTGTTGTCCCAGTGATACGTGAATTTCGTCCAATACACATTATAGTACAACAACAACATCACCATCAGCCGCAACACAAACAGCAACACCACAACCAGCAGCAGCTGCCGACGTATTCAGACAAAGTGATACAACAGTGTTGAGTACAGATTGGCGACGGTGGCGGTGGCGGCGATATTCGTCATCATCATCATGATGAGATTTTCTTCTGTTTTTGCGAATTGCTTTTAGATTTCTTCTTTTTTCCAGTACCCTGTTTATCGGCTTTCATTTTTAATGTGTGTGTGAGATGGTAACTCTGCTTGTTACTTCTTAGTTGAAACAATTTCTATGAATAAAGATTATACTAGGCTGCTTTAATAAAAAAGTAGGTTCATTCACCTCCTTCTTTGTTTTACTTGCTAGTGAAAGCATTCTAAGATTAAGAAGAAGTTGCAGTTTCGTAATTCGTAACTTTCAAGTTGGAGAAGGACTGAATACCAGAGCGGAGAGTACGGGAGAGCAAAACTATTTCGTCCTAGTTTACCAACCCCGATCAGTACGCACCTACTGCGTCTAAATCTAATGGTGCATGGATTCTAACTTCTACCAATTCGTGATCTTTTAGCTCTACTGACACCAGCCACTGTCGAGTGCTTGGTAGGGAGGCAGAGGAAATCAATCGACGAGTCTGCGAATTTACACCGATTGAGATGGTTAGGACATGTGTTACGTATGCCTAGTCATCCATTGCCTTCGTCGACCGACAGGCAATGTTACCTGACATAGGGTCAGGCTGGAAAAGAGCTAGTGAGTGGTGGTCAAACCAAAACACGGTACTAGTCAATGAAGTCCACCACAGTCAGTTTAAGCCAGCCAGCCAGCCACGTAGGAAGATGTAGACCTCCTGACCGGTTGGGATCCTCAGGACGGTGAAAACCAATGAAGGCCGGAGACAATTGAGGCGTGTCCACTTCTTATGACCCATAATTTCCAATGAAACTATATTGTTCTTCGTTATTATTATGCCTCTTTCCTCATATCCCTGTCTACTGTCTCGATTTTGCATTTCTTCTACTTTCTTCTTTCGCTTTGTGTGCTGTATGGAGTGAGTGTGGCGACTTGAACTACTGCACATTAGTTCAGAGTTCTATGTCGAAAAGAGGCAGACAGACAGACAGACAGCCACTGTCATCGACGGTGAGTGTTTGTCTTAACTCCTGACCTGTTGGTGGACTCTACTAGTCATGCCTTCTGACTAGAACTCCAGTCAACTTCGTCCTGCAAACAATCACTAGCTAGCATAAGATTAATTTTTAAAGTTTGGTCACTGATTAATTTCAGGATGAAGTTGTTTGCAGTGGAGTTTATTAGGTAGGGTGTGATGACAATACTTGCCGATGGCATTGGCTGGTGACTGTCGCAGTAAAAACTCACGAATAGGTAGAATTTGGAATTTATGGGGTGGCCAGTGAATCGGTTCCTTGTGGCTAAATGAATGGTCTGCGAGTTCGCTTTCTAACCAGAGGTTCTCGGTTCGAGACCCAGTGAGAGCGTACTGACAATAAGTCCTAAACTAGCGAGGAACAGCTGTCAAGTATTCTCTGAGCTGGTTTTCAATGCTTCTCTAGATGACATCATTAATCCACGATCAAATTGGGAACAAATCAGATTTATAAAAAAACTCTTGAAAATTAATTTTCATCGATGGCTGGAATGTTGGAGTGTTTTCCAGCCATCTATGTGGTCTGAGTGCGATCCCTGGCCAATAGACAGATAGATACTTCCCTGAACCTCCTTTCAGTTTACTAACGGACACTAAGCTCAGACAAAAGGCAAGGTTAGGCGCAAAGTTAACGGCAGAATCCTTTTTAAAATCTCAATACCACCGCTACTGAAACCCTCAGAAGCTTAAAGTTTTATGTCCCACTTAGAATGTAAACAGTCAAGCTAATGAAGAACGAGTGAGTCATCGCTGTTAGTGTTTTTGGTGAGGTTTTGAAGCTGTAGTGCACTCCATGCTCTTAATTCTTAAATTTGATCACGTACGACCCTTTCGTATTTTAGTCTGCTGGCTAAAACACTAAGCTTTTAGCTTACAACTTGAGAGTCAAGCGAAATAGGATTTTCAGATGTAGGTATTCAGGGATTTGATTGGTTTCAATTTTTACCATGGACCGATACCAGTTAGTCAATCCCTAAAAATCATCAGGAGGCACAGGATAGTTGTTTAATTCGAGTTTTGGGCGACTCTCCAGCTGCACTCACCCACTGGGTTTCTAATCTAGGACCTTTCGGTTACAAGGCTAGATTATTGACCATTTAGTCACCGGGAACCTCTCCGGTGACCCGTAGATTTCAACTGCTACCAGTTCAGGATATTTAGCTGAAACACCAACCAATGTCATCCACTTAATAAATCTCTAAAAACCAACAGCTGAAAATTAATCTGATGCACACCACCAACTGGATCCATACATAGGTTACCTAGAGTCCTAGTCGAACTTCATGACCAATAGGGTCCGCCAAGTCAGACAACAGAACAGTTGGTCACCGATGACAATGCCTGGCGGTTGTGTTATATATCACGAATTGGCAGAAACTGGAATATATAGACTGGCCATTGAATCGGGTCTTATTGGCTAGTCACTAGGAGGTACTGGGTTCGAACCCCATCGAATGCATGCAGCTGTCCAATACTACCTTGTTTACAATGGTTCTTTAACTGATGTCAGCTTGTGATGAAAAGTTGGATTTGGCTATCTTTTTTCTGAACTTGGAAGAGATTGGGGACTTCGCTTAAGTAGCAAGATAAAGTAACTTTGGTAAACTGTGTCAGCAGTTTGAGGCCACTGAAAGTGCATGCATCACTGATATGTTTTGCCTTTAAGCAAGTAGAATTATAACCCAATGTTTAAGCGAACAGCTCTTAATAATTGGTATGATTGCTTTTCCACTACTCATTTCAGCTAGTCAGTAGTAAATATCATCATGAGTTAACATTTCCGGGATTACAGGATTTCATCATCAGGTGATATCGATTATAGAGCCATTGGGAAACCACTGAGGAATTCCGGACAGCCGTCTCCTCCGTCCTAGTTTGGGACTCATCATCAATATGCACCAGCCGGGGTTCGAATCGAGGAGCTTCCGGATGCAAGGTAAGCTCGTAGACCATTAAGCCATTGGGACTCTAATCCAATGGCCAGTTCATGAATTCCAGCTTTTGCCAATTCATGGCATATCGTGACTAACAGCCAATCTCATCACTGGCGAGTTTTTGTACTCACACCCAATCTGCTGTACTCTGCTGGTCACAAATTCATATTATAATTCCCCAAAGTAGCCTCCTACCCGAATAAGGTCAGTCGCTAGTGATCACCTCATTGATATTCAAGTAATGGTTCGTAAGGATCTGAGTGATTGGTTACAGGATTTCATCATGAGATACCTGTCAGGTTTTCCAATGGTTCTCTAACCGATGTCAGCTCATGATGATATCCTGTCACCAATCAATCGAATCCCTACAAACCAATACTTGAATATTATGAATTAGTCTGATTCTCTCTAGTGACTTCCTCCAGAACGGAGTTTCCTGTAGTTCTAGTGAGAAGTCGTGACCAGTCAGGTCAATCCAGTCAAGTGTGAGTATCGATGTCATTGGTTGGTGATCGTGGGAAAATCACGAGGTGGTAAAATTTAGAATTCACGGGATGGGCATTGAATCGGGTCCCAGTGGCTGAGTGCTCACCTAAGAGCTTGCCTTGTAACCGGAAGGTCATGGATTCTAACCCTGGCGGTGGGTGGGTGCATACTGCCGATGATTCCCAAACTAGGACAGAGGAAACAGCTGTCCAGTACTCCCTGATCTGGTTTTCAATGGTTATCTAACTGATATCAATCCGTGATCAACTCGTCAAAAAATATATACATATATTCTACAGAAAGATAAACAAAAACATACAGAAAGGTAAACAGATTCGAAAATAGACTAAAAAAGAGTAAACATGATTGATAATATACAACAATAACAACATAGCAGAAGATGGAAAAGAAAACATTTCCATCCACATGGGAATTGATTAAATAACTAACTGTAAATATAGAATCAGTGACTGTTATTATACAGTAATATTCTTTCCATCAGCAAGCAAAATGTAAAAGCACTGAAAAAATAATAAAATCACTGATAGATCTATCTGAAGATTAGTCACTATAAGTAAATATCCTTTATATAAATGCATCCTGTCTAAATTCATGGATACACAGAGACTAACAGACAGATAGACAGACAAACACAGGAACACTCTGTTCCATATTAGATAACTTTATATCATACATAATCTACACAGAAATACCCTGTAATATTAACTGGATGACGTTTTGAGAACAATTAATGGCTACTTATAATCCTATTTCAGTGTATGCATATATCGCGATAACTTGCTTTGCATAGCCTTACTTTCTTCTATTATTTTTACTGCAATTCTCTAAATATCCGGGTCTTCATTCATCAAATAAACACCAGATGGGGTTTAGATACTAGCTTCTAAATGAAACTAACAAATTTTAATAAATACTTAGACTTTAATTCATCACACTCAGAATCAGTAGAGGTAGGTCCTGGGTTCGTAGCCTGGGGGCGGGTGGGGTATGCTGCCAGTAAGTCCCAAACTAGGACGAAACAGATGTCTAGTACTACTCCCTTGTAGTCCTCAGTGCTTCTCTAAATGGTGTCGATCGGTGACCAAACTTGAAACAAACAAATTCCTACAAACTAGCTTTCTTGAAATTAAAGTTAGTGCTCACTAGTGAATGGCTTCAGGACTAAGTTGACTGGAGTCATAGTAAGAAGCTGTGACCAGTGAGGTCCACCAACAGGTTTGTAGTGAGGACAAATACTCACCGTCGATGACATTGGTTGTGCTAAAATCTGGAGAATCCGTGTCCTGGCCGTTGAGGCCGGTCTTAGTGGCTGGCTGAATGGTCTACGAGCTTGACTTGTAACTGGAAGGACATATATTTAAACCTCAGTGGGTGTATACTGCCAACGAATCCCATAATGGGGTGAAACACCTGTCAAGTACTCCCCGGTCTAGTTTTCAATGGTTCTCTAACTGATATCAATAATCCATGATCAAACTTGAAACAAATCGAATCGCTA